GTCTTTTATTTTTCCATATGAATTTCATGATTGCTTTCTCTATTTCTACAAGAAATGCCATTGGGATTTTGATTGGCATTGCATTAAACCTATAGAGAACTTTTGGTAATATCGCCATTTTGATGATGTTAGTTCTGCCTATCCATGAACAGGGTATATTTTTCCATCTTCTAAGATCTTCTTCTATTTCTCTCTTTAGGGTTCTGTAGTTTTCATTGTATAAGTCTTTCACCTCTTTTGTTAGGTTGATTCCCAAGTATTTTATTTTTTTTGAAGATATTTTGAATGGAGTGGTTGTCCTCATTTCCATTTCAGAGGATTTGTCGCTGATATACAGGAATGCCTTTGATTTATGCGTGTTGATTTTAAATCCTGCCACTTTGCTGAATTCATTTATTAGCTCTAATAGTTTCTTTGTAGAGCCTTTTGGGTCTGCTAGATATAGAATCATATCATCTGCAAATAGTGATAATTTAATTTCTTCTTTTCCTATTTTTATGCCTTTAATTTCTTTCGTCTGTCTAATTGCTCTGGCCAGTGTTTCGAGAACTATGTTGAAGAGAAGTGGAGAGAGAGGGCATCCCTGTCTTGTTCCAGATTTTAGAGGGAATGCCTTCAGTTTTTCTCCATTCAGAATAATGCTAGCCTGAGGCTTAGCATAGATTGCTTTTACAATATTGAGGTATGTTCCTGTTATCCCTAGTTTTTCTAGAGTTTTGAACATAAAGGGATGCTGTACTTTGTCAAATGCTTTTTCCGCATCTATCGAGATGATCATATGGTTCTTATTTTTAAGTCTATTGATGTGGTGAATAACATTTATTGATTTCCGTATATTGAACCAGCCTTGCATCCCAGGGATGAATCCTACTTGATCATGGTGTACAATTTTTTTTATATGTTTTTGTATCCGATTCGCCAGAATTTTATTGAGGATTTTTGCATCTAGGTTCATTAGAGATATTGGTCTGTAGTTTTCTTTCTTTGAAGTGTCTTTGTCTGGTTTAGGTATCAGGGTGATGTTGGCCTCATAGAATGAATTTGGAAGTTCTCCCTCCTTTTCTATTTCCTGAAGTAGCTTGAAAAGTATTGGTATTAGTTCTTCTTTAAAGGTTTTGTAAAATTCTGCTGTATACCCATCGGGACCTGGGCTTTTCTTAGTTGGTAGTCTTTTGATGGTTTCTTCTATCTCCTCAATTGATATTGGTCTGTTTAGGTTTTCTATATCCTCCTGACTCAATCTGGGCAGATCATATGACTTAAGAAATTTATCTATGCCTTCACTATCTTCTAATTTATTGGAGTATAAGGATTCAAAATAGTTTTTGATTATCTTCTGTATTTCTGAAGTGTCTGTTGTGATATTGCCTTTTTCATCCCGTATGCTAGTAATTTGAGTTCTCTCTCTTCTTCTCTTCACTAGCATCGCTAAGGGTCTGTCGATTTTGTTTATTTTTTCAAAGAACCAACTTTTAGTTTTGTCAATTTTTTCAATTGTTTCTTTTGTTTCGATTTCATTAATTTCAGCTCTGATTTTAATTATTTCTTGCCTTCTACTTCTTTTGCTGTTGTTTTGCTCTTCTTTTTCAAGGATTTTGAGATGAAGTATGAGATCATTTATTTGTTGGTTTTTTCTTTTTTTAAGGAATGAACTCCAAGCAATGAATTTTCCTCTTAGAACTGCTTTCAATGTGTCCCATAGATTCCGATATGTTGTGTCTGTGTTTTCATTTATCTCTAAGAATTTTTTAATTTCCTCCTTGATGTCTTCTATAACCCATTGATCATTCAGTAACCTATTGTTCATTCTCCAATTGATGTATGCTTTTTCCTTCCTTCTTTTATCGTTGATTTTCAGTTTCATTCCATTATGATCAGATAAGATGCATGGTAATATCTCTACTCCTTTATATTGTCTAAGAGTTGCCCTGTGACATAATATATGATCTATTTTTGAGAAGGATCCATGTGCTGCTGAGAAAAAAGTGTAACTGCTTGATGTTGGGTGGTATACTCTATATATGTCAATTAGGTCTAGGTTATTAATAGTGTTATTGAGTTCTATAGTTTCCTTATTCAACTTTTGTTTGGAAGATCTGTCCAGTGGCGAGAGAGGTGTGTTGAAGTCTCCCATGATTATGGTGTGGTGGTCTATTAGACTCTTGAACTTGAGAAGAGTTTGTTTGACGAACATAGCTGCACCATTGTTTGGGGCATAAATATTTATGATTGTTATGTCTTGTTGGTGTATGGTTCCCTTAAGCAGTATGTAGTGTCCCTCTTTATCTCTTTTGATTAACTTTGGCTTGAAATCTATTTTATTTGATATGAGTATGGACACGCCTGCTTGTTTCCGAAGTCCATATGAGTGATATGATTTTTCCCAACCTTTCACCTTCAGCCTATGTATGTCTTTTCCTATCAAATGCGTCTCCTGTAGGCAGCATATTGTTGGGTCTTGTTTTGTGATCCATTCTACTAGCCTGTGTCTCTTAATTGGTGAGTTTAAGCCATTAACATTTAGGGTTATTATTGAGATATGGGTTGTTCTTCCAGCCATATTTGTTTATTTCTGTTACTAAACATTGTTTGTTTTCCTCTTTGATTGTTTCCCCCCCCCCTTTACTGTCCTACCTCCCACTGTTGGTTTTCATTGTTATTTTCCATTTCCTCTTCCTGTAATACTTTGGCTAGGATGTTTTGAAGAGATGGTTTTCTAGCTGCGAATTCTTTAAACTTTTGTTTATCGTGGAAGGTTTTAATTTCATTCTCCATCCTGAAGCTTAATTTCGCTGGATACACAATTCTTGGTTGGAACCCATTATCTTTCAGTGTTTGAAATATGTTATTCCAGGATCTTCTAGCTTTCAGAGTCTGTGTTGAAAGATCAGCTGTTATCCTGATTGGCTTGCCCCTAAATGTAATCTGCTTCCTTTCTCTTGTAGCTTTTAAAATTCTCTCCTTATTCTGTATGTTGGGCATCTTCATTATAATGTGTCTAGGTGTGGATCTCTTATGATTTTGCACATTCGGCGTCCTGTAGGCTTCTAGGATTTGGGATTCTGTCTCATTCTTCAAGTCTGGGAAGTTTTCTTGTATTATTTCATTGAATAGACTGCTCATTCCTTTGGTTTGGAGCTCTGTACCTTCCTGTATCCCAATGACTCTTAAGTTTGGTCTCTTAATGTTATCCCATATTTCTTGGATGTTCTGCTCATGGTTTCTTAACAGTCTTGCTGAGCTGTCTATGTTCTTTTCCAGTTGAAATACTTTGTCTTCATTGTCTGATGTTCTATCTTCTAAGTGTTCTACTCTGTTGGTAGTATTCTCCATTGAGTTTTTAAGTTGGTTTATTGCTTCCTGCATTTCTAGGATTTCTGATTGCTTGTTTTTTATAACCTCTATCTCCCTGTATAGTTGATCCTTTGCTTCCTGGATTTGTTTGCGTAATTCGTTGTCGAAGTGATCTTTCATTGTCTGATTTTGCTGTTTAATGTCTTCCTTGATACTCCAGATCATCTGAAGCATGTATATCCTGAATTCTTTATCTGACATTCCATCTGCTGCAGCTGTTACCTCTTCTAAAGTTGCGTTGACCTGCATTGCTTGTGGTCCTTTCTTTCCTTGTCTTTTCATACTGCTTGCGTATCTTTCCTGCAGGTGCGGGCGGCGGCTCTGCTCTCTCCTTATTCCAATTGGGGTGTCGTGGCTACCACGCCGGCAGGTCACTGGGCCTGTTCTGGGAGCTGGTGGCGGCTCTGTTCTGCCCCTACTCCAATTGGGGTGACGTGTCTGTCGTACCAGCAGGCCACTGGGCCTGTCCTGCTGGTCGGTCGCAGATCTGCCCACCTTTCGGGCACGAGTGGAGGCTCTGCTTTGCCTTATTTATTTATTTTTATGTGGTGCTGAGGATTGAACCCAGGGCCCCACGTGCTAGGTGAGCGCTCTCCTGCTAATCCACAACCCCAGTCCCCCAATTTCAATATTTTTTATCTGTGTCTTGAGTGAAGGTACAGAATGAACTGCCATGTTAATTTGGTGAGAGACTGAATCTAGAAGGTATATTGAATATGTCTGATCAGATGGCCGATTAAAAATTCAGAAAAGTCTTGACAAACTGGTGTGATAGCCTAGACTAACAAGATGAAATTTAATAGAAATCAATGTAAGGTCCTACACTTGAATCCAGATTTTCCCAACTAGTCAAGTATAGAATGGAAGAGACATGACTTAGCATAACAATTCTTGGGGGAGGGGAGACCAAGAAATATAATCATTTCTAAGTCTGAGATTACATTGGCAGAGTACTGTATCTGCTGTGGAAGCAAATGCAATTTGCATTCTATGCTAATAATATCTAGAACTGGGAAAGTGATAACTTGAATTTGACTGTGTGGTAAAATTACATTTAATTTTCTTAATACAGTATCCAGGAATAAAGACAAACCAGGAGTCCTTTCACAGACCCATTAGAATGACAGACTCAAACCCATCCCCTGGGAATTAGGTTGAAGTAATTGGGAACACAGCCAGGGAGAGAGAAGTCTCAGTAGACATTTTATAGATGAGGTGGAAGGAGGATTAGAGATTTTCTGATGGTCCCCAGTGCAGAACCAGGGCCAATAAATGGAATTTGTAGAGAGAAAGATCCAAGTTATAGCCATTAAAAAATCCTAAGGCCTGACTTATATAAAGGCAGTGTTCAAGAAGAGTTGATGGGCTTGTGTAGAAAGAATTCTTCCATGTTATGGCTTCCTGAACCAGATAACCTTTCAGGGTCTTAACTTCCTTCAGCTTTTTCTTGTCACAGTTTCTTGACTTTCTACTTGGTGGCTCCCTTGGCAGCTGAAGAGGAGATAGCAAATGAACTGTTTGGATTCCACAGGAATCTGGTTTCTCAAACTGGGGCTTGTGTACACTGTTGGTTGATAAGATATAAAGGACCTCCTTTTTCAGTACAATGATTGATTATCTCTCTTGCATCGTTGTTGTTTTCCCAGGTGACTATAGGCCGAGGATTTGGTGTCACATACCAACTGGTATCAAAAATTTGCCCTCTGATGATTTCTCGCAACCACTGTGTTTTGAAGCAGAATCCTGAGGGTCAATGGACAATTATGGACAACAAGGTACAGGAATTCACAGATTCACCTAATTGCTTTTATTTATTTTTAAATTAATTTTTAAAAATTTCTTTTTTTTTTTTTGCTATAATTTTGATTATGCCAAGATAATTTCTAATGCTTGGGTTGAAATTTGTTACCATGAAGGAAACATCTGAATTGGGGATGTAGGTCTTATTCCAAAAACTAGGCTAAGTTACTGGAGGAATTGACCCTTTTGAGATGCAGAACTCTGGGAATCTGCTGAAATTTCTGTAGTGTATCTACAGCTCAGGGGACAGGAGAGGAGAAAGAAAGTGAGCACTTAGCTCCTTTCCTTCCTCACTCCTTTAAATCAGAGCAATTCCCTCCCTCATCTATTTCTCTTTCTCTATTTTTGGCATTGGAGATTGAACTAGGGCCTTGCATGTGCTAGGCAAATGCTCCACTGATGTACATCCCAGTTCTCCTCCTTTTTTTTTTTTTTTTAACTGTTTTACATATTAGTAAATTTAGAAATTAGTAAATCTTCTGTGGAAGATTTCCTTTGGGGAAAAATTAGTTGTTCTGCTTTAAACAAATTTGAAAAACACTGCTCTAGTGGTCAGTATACATGGTACAGTTGAATGAAAAATACCAGGTTAGGTCATATATAACTTCAAAAAGACCCAAAGGAGGGGAAATAGCATATAAAACCCAGCAATTAAGTACCTTGCTAGCCTGATGTGGTGGTACATGCCTATAACCCAGAGATTTTGGAGGCTGATGTAGCAGGATGACAAGTTCAAGGCCATCCTAGACAACTTAATGAAACCCTGTCTCAAACTTTTTTAAAAAATTAAAAGACCTGGGGATGTAACTCAGTAGTAGAGTGCCCTTATGTTCAGTCTCCAGTACCATAAATAAACAAACAAGGGAGAAAAAAAGAAGTATGAAGAAGTACCTAGCTACTCAGGAGACTGAATCAGTAGGAGTGCAAGTTCAAGGCCAGTCTGGATACCATAGCAAGACACTGTTGCCTCCCCAATCCCCTCCAAAAAAAGACTTACCTAAAGTGCAGATAGGCAGATATACTAGTACCCATGAATATAATGAAAGACTGTGAAGTGAGAGAAATTCTAATATGAACAATTAAATTTAAGAAGTATGAAATATCTTTAGATATCATTTTATACTGCTTCACTGCTCTGATTGGAAGGATTTTAAAGGTACCTGTTAGAAGGGAGGATATCCCACAAGCCTGCCCAGCAGACTCATTTTGCATGCATAAATCTACTAGATGTAAGCTGTTGGAGAAAGTATGTTTCTGGTCTAGAATTAAGTTGAGTTAGCGCTGCCTTGAAGGAGCTAATTTAAAAGCTAAGTGAATTGTTTCAATATTATTTGTAAGGTACAATGAACAGAATAGAAATTGGTACTGAAATTATCTAGTTTAACCCTTTCTGTGGACACAGATACACCTGAGCCTCAGAGATACACTATCCTCCCAAACTGGTGAATGAGTGAATAACTGGTGAGTTAGTGAATAAGCCATGACTTAAACTCAAATTAAGATTCTCTACAGTGCCCTGTTGATAAATATCAATAGAGGACATAAACAATTTGCTATGCTAGTTTCATGATTTTAAAAAATTGAAAATTATGCATATCTAAGCTGTAAGTTTTTTTCTTTCTTGGTACCAGGGATTGAACCCAGGGGCGCTTAACACTGAGTCACATCCCCAGAGCCTTTTTTCCTTTTTTAGTTGTAGTTGGACACAATACCTTTATTTATTTATTTTTATGTGGTGCTGAGGATTAAACCCAGGGTCTCGCATGTTCGAGGCGAGTGCTCTACCACTGAGCCACGATTGCAGCCCCCCAGGACTTTTTTATATTTTATTTAGAGACAGGGCATATATATATATATATATATATATATATATATATATATATATATTAGTTGTAGTTGTCAATACCTTTATATATTTATTTTTATGTGGTGCTGAGGATTGAACCCAGGCCCTCACATGTGCTAGATGAGCGCTCTACAGCTGAGCCACAAACCCAATCCCTAGAGATAGGATCTTGCTGAGTTGCTTAGAGCCTTGCTAAGTTGCTGAGGCTGTCTTTAAACTCCCGATCTTTCTGCCTCAGCCTCCCAAGCTGCTGGGATTACGGGCATGAGCCACCATGCCCTGCTAAGGTTTTTAAAGCCTCTAATAGTTTATTTTGAAGCACCTTAGGAGCCGGGAATAGTGGCATGTGCCTATAATCCCAGCACTTGGGAGGATGAGCCAGGAGGACTGTTTGAACCTGGGAGTTTGAAACCAGCCTGGGCAACATAGTGAGGCATCCTCAAATAAATAAATACATAAATAAAAATAAAAATTAATCTTTAGGAAGGATGTTTTCTTCATCAGAGTTGGCCATTCAAGAAATGAATTAGTGCAATAGAGGTGAATTCTCTGCTGCTGCTATCTTTATGCAGATATCTCATATCTTTGGTTATGAGCCACATGGATGTGATCCATGTATGGGATTAGCAGATTTTAATAGGTTGGGAAGCTACCAGCTGACTCATGTAGTACTCCTGGAATGTCAGCCACAGGGATGATAGAAGCAGCCTGTGTTAGCAGTAGGTCATGGCTGTGCTCTAGGGTTGCACTCCAGTGTTTCTTCGTACCCTTTCTTGTAAGGCTGTCATGATTATCATTGTGACTCTTTATGTCTCAGTTGGCTAATTTGGAGGAAAGATGGGTTCCTCATTCTTCCAAACCTTTTCTGTACAATTGGTTTAAACCTCTTAGTTTAGTTGGGTCTTTTTTGTTGTTTTGTTGTTTTTTGGTACCAGGGATTGAACCTAGGGGCACTTAATAACTGAGCCACATCATCCCCAGGGTCTCACTAAGTTGCTGAGGCTGACCTTGAATCTGTAATCCTCCTGTGTCAGCCTCCTGAGCTGCTGTGATTACAGGCATGTGCCACCTTGCCTGGCATAAACCTCTTAATTTTGATTCTGTTTTTGAGGTGACTGGCTTTTGGGAAAAGCTATGACAAGGGTTTTTTGTTTTTGTTTTTGGTGGAGTTGGGGAGCATGGTACTGGGGAATCAAACCCAGGGCACTCTACTACTGAGCTACACCTCCAGCCCTTTTTATTTTTTATTTTGAAACAAGGTTTCATTAAGTTGCCGAGGCTTGTGATCCTCCTCCTTTATTCTCTCAAGTAGCTGGCATTACAGGCTTGCACCACTGTGCCTGCCTAGGAACAATTTTCATAAGTAAACCCCTTCCCTCATTTGTTTACTTACTTATTTGGCTTGACAGATGCTCCCTTTCCTTCGGGCTTTTTTCTGGCACAATAGTATTGCAGTTGTCTTCTGCTGATGAGAGATTTGAATTTCTGCTGCAAGATATTATTGTTGTGGTTATTTTTGAAGTCATTTGTCAAGTCTCTTTTTAAATTATTTTTTATTATTTTGTGTGGTTCTGGGGATTAGCCCAGTACAGCAAAACAAACACACACACAAAAAAAAACAAACAAGAAAACTGATGGTAGTATTACAAAATTTAGAACTTCAAAAGATACTGTGAGATGAATGAAAGGCAGACTCAGTAGAATGTTTGCTGTATAACCGACAGAACTCCAAATCTATTTAAAAAAAAAAAAAAAGGCAAAATGGAAAAGACAGGCACTTCACAAAAGAATGTTCCAAATGTTTGATATTCATGAAGTTATTCAGCTTCATTAGTGTTCAGGGAAATCAAAGCTACAATGGAATACACTGCACATTCACCAGAATGGCTAAAATTAAACTGGTAGTGCCAGGTTCTGGCAAGGGTATGGGACAAGTAGAGTTCTTTTATATTTGATGGGAATAAATTGATACAACTATTTTGGAAAAGTATTTGACATTACTTACTAAATTTAAACATATTTAGCTCATGACACAGTATTTTCTCTCTCCAGAAACAACTGGAATGTCCATCAACAAAATGGATAAACAAACTGTGGAGTAGTCTTATATCTTATAATGAAACATTATACTATAATAAACATGAGTGCATGACGACACTATCCAACAATATGGATATATCTCACAAGCATAATATTGAATGAGAGTAAATGTACATATATGTGTGTGTGTGTGTGTGTGTGTGTGGCTTCTTTTGTGAAGCCAGACACACAAAATACTATATATATATATTATACATACATAATCTATATATCTTTTTTCCATTTTAAACATTAAATGTTCAAAATTATGTAATGTTCAAAACTAGGCAAAGCTGGCATGCTTTTTTAAGATAGTATTATCTAATTTTATTTATCCATTTCATTAGGAGCAAGGACCTTGCTTATCAAAACTGCCAAAAAAGAGTACTCTGCCTTTTATCATTATTATTTTGTAAATAAATTTTTCCAACTTAATTTTTGAGAAAAGTATAATTTTCATATTCCTACTAAGATGCCAGTGTTTTAGATTTTTTTTTCACATGGCATTTGTTTGAAAAGAGTAAACCTTACCCCGCCCCCCTTACCAGGTCAAACAAAAAGAATCCAAAGAAACAACTCAAAATGCCTGTAAAATTATTGCTTTTCTTTCTCTAATGCAGGTGAGGCTACAAATAGAAGGAAATTTGGTAAATAAGTTACAGTTTGTGCTTGCTCCTTCTAATGTGATTGCATGTCCATGAGTGTCAGTCAGTGAGACAGTCTGATACTGTGGGTAGCATTTGTTCAACCTGGAACACTGAGGAAGAAAGCCACACTGTAGACACAAGGAAAATGAATCGATCCAGTCTGTCTAAAGAACAACATTGAGAAATGGTACTAACACCTTCTTAGAACATGGAAATAAAATATAACCCCGTCAGAGGTACCTTGCCAAGGAGCATGTTGAAAGTCCAAATAGCACCATTCATCAGTGTCCTGGGTCTTATGGCAGCATCTCTGTCAGTTAACATAGGAAACAGTGAATCTCAGAAACTACTTCTATATATCAAAAGAGTGCATGGAAAAAATGCACAGATCATAGACAATCGA